ATGAGTTAAAATAACAAATACCAGTTTGCAATATCAAGCAGTATAACACTGTTTTGTGCAGCTAAAATAACTGGAGGTGAATGGCAGCGGAAGCCTCACACATTCAAGCAGCTCTTAAGTCAAAAATAAGGTGGATATTAGAACAGTCACGGACAAACGACTGAAGTGTTCATGCACTCATCTGGATCAGATTACTTGCAGTATGATTGAGCATTTCCAGGCTTGAAATTAATTGCTATTTGATTGTTCTTCAGGCTTCTCCACCCTTAGTCAAAACTGCTTGGTTTTGACAAAACTGTTCTTTTTACCCCTACTGTAATAAAATGCACTGCAACAAGTTCGGCTTGTCATTGTAATGTGCATCGTAATTTGTGTCAGTGAGTGTGTGTGCATGCGTGCGTCTGTCTGAGGCATGGAGACGGCAGTCCTGCAGCGATCGTGCCCCAGAGCCATTCTGCCTCAATACCAGTATTTTTCACACTGTCACGCTGAGTTTTGCTTTGGTTTGGAGCTGTTGAGTGGTTGGTTAAGTATGTCAAGCTGTCACCATTTGCTCAGGAGTGCAGACACACTGCCAGCCACCTCTTACAGCTGATCTCAGCTATATTAATGCCATTTAACCTTATGAAGAGCCACAGAGATGATCTGAAATGGCCTTAATGGGTTAGTTGACCCCGGAATGAAAATGCTGTCATTATTTGCTCAAGCTCATGTCATTCCGAACCTGTATGACGTTCCTCTGTGGAACAAAATAGACATTTGGAAAAATGTTTTTGTTTTGGCTGTGCAATGAAAGTGAACGGGGACCATTGTGATTCCCACTGACTTGCATTATATGGAGGAAAAAAAATTGAGTTTTTGTTTGTTTCCTCTGCTTTTATGTTCTATAGTAGAAAATACTTCATACAGGTTACAGCATGAGGGTGAGTAAATGATGAAAAGATTTTCATTTTTGGGTCAACTATCTTTTTAATGATAACAACAGCCATATTATCTAATGTTGCAATTTGACCTGTTTTCTGTTAACAAAAATGTTTTTTTTCTTCTAATATTCACTATATACTAGAACAGGGTTCCTCAAATCTTGCCCTGGAGGGCCAATGCGC